AGACTGCAGCCCTACATAGAGGTTTTAACATCATAAAATTACCAATAATACTACTAGAGCCGCAACCATCAATTTAAAGTGGACTTAAATGATTTTTTAAAAATTACACTTTCTGCACATAACCATAGCATAACTTACATCATAACACTATAAAGTTTGTACAATTTGGATCAAGTTGTTTGATGTTAAACATCAAGCGTTTTAAAAACATGATGCTTTAATCAAATTAATGTACAGCAATGCCTTGCAACCACTGGATTTGGTCTGCATCCACAATTTAACCTGTTATGCTTCAGCACCGCTCAATCAAATTAATGTACAATTTCCATCAGAAATCAAGATATGTCAATGAATGCTGCACTTTCAAATGGCTTGTGCGCAAACTCAAAAGGTTTAATATTCAAAACGAACAAATCAGTATACTAATAACTCAACATTTCATAGCTTACTTTATCCAATTCATGATTTAAACATTTAAGCAAATTAACGTTCAAATCCTAATGACTTAAATGTTTAGTTAACACCACTTAACAGTTAACAATCCTTAACTGCAGTTCAAATTCAACTCATGCTTTCTGAATAAACCCTACGCAAGCGTTGTGTGGATGTTTATCTGAATGTTACGTGCACATTTCCAGCGACAACGAAGTAAAAAATGCATTCCCAGATTCACAGACCATTTGTGAATAAAATAAGACTCAAGATCATTCATAATTTGGCCACATAGAAATCTAAATAAATAAAATAAAACAAAAGCTCACTAGTGATAATCTAAAGACGTGCAAGTATCACAATCCACTCCTCTGAGGCGGTTTCTCTTGACAGAGCTCTTAACATCCGGGTCACACAGTCAAACTGCCCGCACTCTGATTCCCGCCTCCAACAGCTCGTTACTGAAAAAAAAACTCCTGATTGGCTCGCGACATTCAAACTCAATATAAACTCTATTTTTTGGAAGTTTCTGTACAGCTAATATAGACAGGGTAAATACTTGCAAGATGAATAAAGCACAGGTGGAAATAAATAATGTAAAAAAAAAAAAAAAGGAATCTCACACTCAATCATTTCAGCAGCTTCCTCGTGCTCCAGATTTCAGACTAATGTAAAAAAAAAAAAAAAAAAAAAAGAATAGGGAAGTTTACATATTGTTTATATATGACACTTTTTGACTAATAAATTATTGCAAAAACAATTTATAACGACATATTTTCATCATTTGGTTGTTTTATATATGAGGGTTTGTAATCCTTAACATTTTCATAAGTAACTGTAATTTAATTACATGTTTTTTCTTAGTAACTGTAACTGATTACAATTACTTTTATTTTGTAATTAAATTATGTAATTCCGTTACATGTAACTAGTTACTCCCCAACACTGGAGGGCAGCATATGTTGTTTTTTTCTCTGTGTGTGTTAGAATTACAAAAATGGGTAAATGTACCCATAAATGTAAATGTAAAAGGTTTGTGGAAACAATTAATCATTTAGTTGCTTAATGTTTTATTGCAACTATAAAGACAATGAATAGTATTTGTTTATAAAGCTTTTTTTAATCAAATGAATTCAACAGAATCTTTGCTAATATTAATTACTGTGTGACTCTCATTTTCCCAGGTTGTTTGGACTGAACCAGAGTCAGATCCAGGCTGACTGTGTTTGTGACAACTTAAACTGCAGCCTGTGCCAAGTGACCAGTGAAGCATTTTCAGCGATCAACATCTGTGTCAAGTCAAGTCAAGTCACCTTTATTTATATAGCGCTTTTAACAATACAGAATTGTGTCAAAGCAACTGTACAGCATTAATTAGGAAAATATTGTGTCAATAATGCAAATAGTATGATAATAGTAAACACTCAGTTTTCAGTTAAAGGCAGTTCATCATTGAATTCAGTGATGTTATCATCCAGCTCAGTTCAGTTTAAATAGTATCTGTGCAATCAAGTCGACGATATCGCTGGAAATTAAGTGTCCCCAACTAAGCAAGCCAGAGGAACCAAAATTCCATCGGTGACAGAATGAAGAAAAAACCTTGGGAGAAACCAGACTCAGTCGGGGGGCCATATGGTGGTGAATATTGTCTCATGTTTCTGAGAGCGGATCCATGACACCGCCTTTATGGCCACAAATTGCCACTCATCCTGCTGATCTGATTTAAACGCATATAACCAGATGAGAGCGAGGACGGTGGCCCAGTTCTCCTCTGGCCAGATGAAACCAGCAGTTCAATTTCAGGCTGCAGCAAAGTCACATTGTGCAGAGGACTCA